TTTCAAGATTGAAGGGAAAATATAAGGTATCTTTAGTAAACTACATGGTGGTTACATAGGGCATTTTCAATTCTCATGGGAAATTTTGTTTAAAGAAAACATTTATTTTTTTAATTTGCTCTGTAGGAACTGTCTGTGGTCACTTGATTGGTTATTTCTTGGACCTTTCTGGTTTGAAGTCAATCTGTGAGTACTCTGTCCATTCTTACTAGGTTTTTGTTTTGAGAGTAAAGTCATCAAGTGACATGGCGAATGTATTTCCTTTCCTTAGAGTGTAGCTTTAGTTTTATAGGTGTAATACCTGGATTTTGGAGTCATGAACACCTGGTTCAGCTCTTATGCCTGTCACTTACCAGCTGTGTGACCCCAGGGCCATTTGCTTAACATCCCTAAGCCTGGTTTCCTCATGTGTAAATTGGTAGTATCTGCCTCAATATGTTGTCAAAGTCCATCAGAGGCTGTCTGTAAGACTCTCAGCATATTGTGTGGTGAGTAGCAAACACTCAATAAAATGTATCTTTTTTTGTTAATGACTTGTCATTCAAGACAATAGCATCAGAGGTGGCAGACAAGACCCGTCAGGATGGCATGGAGCACCTTGTGAAGTGCACCTTTCATGATGTCTTTCCCTGGTGACAAAATTTCCCTGAATAGAGCAGTCAGGAATATCAAGATAGAAGGGGGATTGTAGAATGAAAGACATGGAGAGTGAGAAAACGACAGGAAGGTTACTCTTGTGTCTAAGGAGTGAGGACTCAGTGGGTACGCTGGGTGGTCTAGGTAATCCCTACCTAATTAGAGAACAAAATGCTAAAATTGGACCTCTAAGTATAACATATTATGTTTCTCAATAGTTAATTCTTATTTAATTTTTTTTTTTTGGTATCAGGGATTGAACCCAGGAGTGCTTAACCACTGAGCCACATCCCCAGTCCTTTTTATTTTTTTATTTTGAGACTGGGTCTCACCAAGTTGATTGGGACCTGGCTAAGTTACTGAGGCACTTTGATCTTGTGATCTTCCTGACTCAGCCTCTCAAGCAGCTGGGATTACAGGCATGGGCCACCACTCCTCAGCCAAATATTTTATGGTGTTTATGTAGGGCACACTGTGCTTAGGATAGAAGGCTAGAGCAGCTGCCATGTTTATTAAAGAAAAATACAATAAAACGACTTTAAAAAGGAAGAAATGAAGGAAGGTGGGAGGAAGAGAGAGAGAGAGAGAGAGAGAGAGAGAGAGAGAGAGAGGGAAAATTAGAGATGGGAGAGAGAAAGGAAAGAAGAAAGGAAAGATGGAAAGAATGAAGAAAGGAAGGATGAAAGGGAAGAAGAGAAAAAAATAAAGAATGCCCCTATATAAAAATGGTTAAAAAATGAAAAACAAAACAAAACTACTCAAAACAAGGATGATGGGGAAAATGATGATGATATCATTTATCACCACTGACCATATTTCATGCTTTTTACTGGGAATTTTAGTAGTCACTTCTCTCTCTCTCTCTCTCTCTCTCTCTCTCTCTCTCTCTGTGTGTGTGTGTTGTCTGTTCTGTGTGTAATATTTATTTGTTTATTTATTTATGGAACTGGGGACTTGACCCCGAAGGCATTCTACCACTGAATTACATCCCAGTCCTTTTTTATTTTACTTGAAGATGGGTCTTACTAAGTTGTCCAGGTTGGCCTCACATTTTGGATCCTCCTTCCCCAGCCTCTTGAGTAGCTGTGATTACAGATGTACTCTTCTACACCTGGCTTTCTCTCTATTTTTATGTCTGGATTTTGGAAAAAAAATAGGCCTTTTCTCTATTTTATGTCTGGATTTATTTTCATGTTATAAGTGAGAAGATATGTTTAGGAAAGTTATATTACTTGTCTAAGATACACAGTATTTAGAAAATCAGGAATTTAGGAAACATGAAGAAAATATGCTTTAAAACATTGGCATCAAATCAGGTCATGTTATATGACATGAAGACACTAGACTAAAATATTGGAGAAATTATTATAAAAGTCATTGTGAATGTTGAACTTAAGCCATGTGAAGTGTAGCAAAGTATGCAGTGATACTATTATAATAAAATATCGTGTACTTATCAATTTATGCTTATCCTGCATATCATGTATATATATGGTTAGATTTTTCAAGTAATTATTAAGGTACAAGAAACATGTACCTTTCATCATGGTGCAGATGGTAATTACTTTTTAATACTAACTGAACTATCATTAGAAGCATACCGCTTTACAACACATACTGAGGAATTAATGAGACAGAGAACACAATACATTCTGTTGTACTTTAGCATCAACATCTAGTGCTTAGCATGTTGTATTTTTTGTTTGGCATTGTACCAGGACTTTGTGGTGACAAAGGAAGAGAACATGTGATCTGTATTCTCACTGAGCTCAGTTTAGCTAGGGATTATGAGATATATGAAACAATATACTATAAAAATGTTAAGAAAGCAAATAATTATAATAAATGATGTGGCTTAATCAGTGCTAGGAGAACTCATAAACAAGTCATATGGCTAGAATATTTGGGGGAAATTATCAACAAATGTAAAGAATTAATTTATAAGAAGACACATGAATAAGACAATATTAAAATAGACCACTGGAAAGATTCTTCATATTCTTGGCATTAGTAAAGTCTAACCATGATTAAAAATATAGAAGTCTAAAAAGAAAAGATTTTGCTACATAGAAATAAAAATCACATGTTGAGTAAACAATGTTTTACCAAAGAGTAAAACTAAAGAATAAAACTCAGTGGGTTCAATTTAACCGATCAATTCAACTCATTATGAGACAAATGAGTCACTCTCTTAAGTACATAGGAAGCTCAAAGAAATTGAGAAAGGGACATACTACCCCCAAAGAATGATGAACCTAGGATATGAACTGACATTTTATTGGAAAACATGCACAGGTGTGCACGTACATGCACACACACACACACTCACTCACAAATGGTTTTTAAGCACATTAAGATTTGCCTAATCTCACTCATGATAGGAAAAATGCAAATTCAAACTACTTTGAAATGCCATCTTTCAATGATCTAAGATGGAGTGGAGCCCAAAATAAACCACACTGGCTAACTAGGGAGGCAAATTACTCAAAGGAATTCTGGGTTAATGTCACAGAAAAGGAGGAATGATATTGGGTTGCAGGCAATATGAATAATTTAAAAATCAGCTATTGGGTATAAGTGTTAAAACTATACCATGTGATTACTTCATTTTGACAGAAATATTTCTGGTGAAGAGGTTAAATGTTCAGGAAATGTTCAAAATATTTTGTGTACTTGAACATGATTTAAGATTTTTGCTTTCAATCAAAATAGAGTTACCCAGCATGAAATATATCCTTCTATTTGAAACAACTAAAAAAATGGGCAAAATATATTAAACCAGAGTTTTTAAGACATTGATCATACAGAATGCAGGACAATGACCTTTAAGTCAGGAAACAAATGGGGGAAACTCTAACGTTGCTCGAGTTTACTGCCTTAGAGGATTTCAAGGCTGTAGCACATGAAGGAAGCTGAGCAATGCCTGAAAGATGTCTGGAGGTGGGAAGCAACTGAGAATCCGGGAAAGACCAACCTGAGGGAGAACTTGAAAAAGGTGCATCAACAAAAACAAAACTAACAAACAAACAAAAAAAACCCTGCAGATATTTGCAGAGGTGTTCCCCTGGAGCCATCAGCAACTCTGTAACAATATGAGTAACATACTACTCAGCTACTGGGTCTGAGGAAACTACTGGAGGCCAGGAAAAGAAAACAGAAGAATTTATCTGATAGCATTAAAAAGCAACAGCACTGCTCAGAGATATCACGTGGTGCAAAGAATATTACTTATTCCCCAGCCAGACTCAAAAAGCATGTAATTTGTAGAGATTTGGAAATACTCAGAAGGGTCTTTTCTCAGTAGAGGAGAAAAATTAGATATAGACTACTGTTTTACTTCAGCCTAACAAATCTTTAAAATAAGACCGTAAAGGATCAAACTGTTTCCAAGTTACTTAACAGAGTCCCAGAACAAAGCTTAGGAATTTCAGAGGAATATAAAAATATTCAACATTCAACAAGGTATGATTCATGATTTCTGGCATACAATTAACATATGAAGAGGCATAAAAAGAAGCAGCAAAATGAAATCCATAATGAGGAGAAAAATTAATCAATTAAAACCAATACAGTTCAGAAACAGATGTTGAAATTAATAGACAAGGACATTAAAACAGTTTTTATAACTGTACTCCATATACTTGAAAAGTTTGAGAAAATATTGAAAATGTTACATGGAGAAATGGAAGATACAAAAAAAAAAAAACTTAAACTTTTTCCAAAGATAAAAACTATAATGTCTGAGATGAAAAATGCACTAGATGGGATTAATGACAAATTAGACATTTCTGCCTAAAAGATTCGTGAACTTCAAGATGTATCAGTAGTAACTATTCACAATGAAAACCAGAAAAGACTTAAAGACAATAACAAAAAAGAAAAAAGAAAGAAAGAAGACTGATAATTAGGGAGCTATAGGTTTACTTTAGAAATTCTAATATATATAGTTGGAATCCTCAGAGAAAAGGAGAGTGAGGAAAATATTTGAGGAGATATTTGGGGAAAATAATGGCAAACATTTTCAAATGTGATGAAAACTACAAACCTACAGATCCAAGAGAGAAAACCATACAGAGGAATAAAATAACCTGTTTAAAAGGAGTGATAAAATGAAAATCTTAAAAGTAGATTAAAAGATATCTACACAGGACTAACAATAAGAATGGAGCATATTTCTTGTTGAAAAAAAATGCAAGTCAGAGAGTGGAGCAATATATTTTAAAAAATTGAAAAAAGAATTGTCCGTGTGTAATTCTATAACCAGATCACTTTCTATTTCAGCTTAGGAAAGGAGAGACCTGAAAGAACATCAAGGGAAGGAAAATACAGGACAAACCGCAAATTAATGACTTTCTTGAACTTACCAGATAATTGCAATGGGAAATCTTGGGATAAAATGAGTCAGCTGAGAAAGAAACAGGATCCAAGCCTTTGCTTACTTGGGCAGATACCACTGGCTGCTGTAAAAGTCAGTAAGAAGATACAGCTAAAAATTGTTAACAAATTGTTAGAGGTGGAATGTGGGCTGGCATGAGAGTGCAAAGTCTCACGGGACTTTACATATTTTAACATTCTCACATTCTTGTGGGAAGAACCTTGACCCCACCAGGTTCTAGCAGGTATGGTGATGGGGAAAATCTTCATATAAATTCCGATGGTGCTCAGTGGAGGAAGGGAAGAGCAGCCACAGCTTCAACTCTAGCCCAAACTATTTTCCCATCTTGCTTTTAGATCAAATGCCTCATTCTTTGAGTGTGGGTGGCGATATGATGAAGAGTAATAAAAAGAAGAAAGAATTGCTTTGGAGTGCAGGAAGAAGCTCATTGCAACTCTGGAACTATTTCAGAACTATTTTTTTGAAGGTGCAACCTATGGGGAGTGGCAAGTGTAAATTCCAGGTTCCACATTATAGCAGGAAAAGTGGCAAAAGTATTTGTGAAGAGTATGCACCATTTGGACTCACAGACACTGCACCTAAGATTGAGGTTTAAATAAAATCTTAGCAAATGCCCCTTCTTTCTCCTCATACTACCATGCTAACAGCTGTGGAGTAAAAATAATGGTGGAGTACAATTGGAAGATCAGCGAAAAACAGATTCTCTCTAGGGAGCAGAATAGTGAAAAAATACAACTCCAAGGGGAAAACAAACACTAACAAATCACCTCAGACCAAAATCCCATGCTCCTAACGGTAGATTGCACTAGAGGAATTTGAAGCCGTTGGGGAACTGAGGCCAGACATAAAGATAAATTTCAGACAGGCTCAGTTTCTTACTAGATTAATTAACACAAAAGCGTCACTAATGGGCTTTCCAAAAAAGTTGTGCTCACCTCCATGCATAAAAATATTTATGTCAGTATCTACTGTTCCACATAAAATATCTGACTTTCAAGTGAAGCCACAAAAAAGAAGACAAGAAAGCAAAACATTCTCAAAAGACAAAGCAATCTTCAAAACTGGACACAGTTATGACATAAAATAATTGTAATTAAAACATTAAAAACTAATGGAAAAGTTCGACTGCATGCACGATCACATGGATCATTTCAACAGAGAGAAACTGGAAAGAATTAAGTGGAAATAGAAGAAATCAAAAACATAGTAACATCAATGAAGAATATCTTTTATGGGCTCATCGGTAGACTTGACACAACTAAGTAAACAATCAGTGAACTTCAAGAGAGGTCAATAGAGGGCTGGGGATGTGGCTCAAGTGGTAGCACGCTCGCCTGGCATGCGTGCGGCCCAGGTTAGATCCTCAGCACCACATACAAACAAAGATGTTGTGTCCGCCAAAAGCTTAAAAAAAAATATATATATATATATATTAAAAAAAATTCTCTCTCTCTCTTCTCTCTCACTCTCTCTTTAACAGTTAACAAAAAAAAAAAAAAGAGAGGTCAATAGAGCACATAATCTGAAACACTAAGAGAGGCAGAGAGAGGGTGAAAACATCCAAGAACTATGGGACAATATCAACAATTTGAGCAAAGTGGTACTGGATTTGCAGAAAGAGAAGAGACTGAGAGAACAGAATTATTCAAAGAAAGTTGAAAGTTGAAAGATTTTCAAAATTATGACAAACATTAAGTAAACTTGTCCAAGAAGATTAGAGAATACCAAACAGGGTAAACACCATTAAATCAACAGCTGCATGTCAAATACCAAGACATCATTTTGAAGGCAGCCAGAGGGAAAAAAAAGATATATTACCTACAAAGAAATAGGACAATAACTTTAGTGAACTTCTCATTAGAAACCTTGTGAGTTCAAGAAGACAAGCGAGGGTTAGGTTTAGAATGTTGAAAGGAAAAAGAAAAAAAAAAGAAGAGAGAGGAGGAAAAGAAGGAAAAGAAGAGAAAAAAAAGAAAAGTCTGTCAAGCCAGCATTCTGTATTCAGATAAAATAGCCTCTAAAAGAGGAGAAGAAATAAGTACTTTTTCAGACACAAAAATGGAGATAACTCATCCATAGCAGTTCCACTCTTTAGAGAATTTTTCAGGCAGAAGTAATATGATCTTAATGAGAAGAAATGACAAGTATTAAAAGATGAACAAACTAAGATAAAATGAAATTTATTTTCTCTTAGAATTTAATAGCTCTAGAAGATATTGTTAAATAAAAATAGCAATAAACTAATACATATTTGGTGAACAGGTTAAAAATTATGATAGTGGTGCAAAGCTGTGAGGGAGAAATTGGGAGAGCCCACATAAGATCCTAACACTGTAACTGAAGTAGTACATTATTTAAAAGAAGGCTCACAGAGTTTAAAATGGTTACAATTTTTTAAAAGGTATGACAATCATTAATAAGAGAGATGAGACAAAATCATAAAAGTTGATTAGTTTACTCAAAAGAAGACAGAAAAACTGAAAAAAGAGATATAAACATATAATCTAGACATTGCATTCCTAGATTTTTATCTAAGCAACATGAAAATATATTTCCTTTGTAAGAATTGCACATAAATGTTCATAGCGGGTTTATTTGTAAATATAAAAATCTGGGCACAACTTGAATCTGTTCACCAACAGATGAATCTATAAGAAAATTGTGTATATTCAGACAATGTAATATTTATTATGGAGCAAAAGGTATACAGTATCAATATATGCAATATGGATGAAACCCCAAATAATGACAGTGAGTGAAAGAAACCAGTCAAAGGATGCATATTTTTATTTGTATAAAATTGTGGAAAAGGCAAACTAATCTATAGTGAAAAAAGTAGATTGGTGGTTTCCTAGAAATGGGAGTATGTACAGGTAGTGTATGTGAGGTCATTATGTGTCAGGAGAAAATATTAGATGTTGAACATGTTTATCTGGATGTGATGCTTTCATAAGTATTCATTCATGATGTGTATAAAACACATTTATGTTTATATATTACACACGTAAAACATAAATTTTAGCATTAAAGACGTACTTCTTGTTTTATGTGAATTATACCTCAATGAAACTTTTGTTATATGTTCAAGACTGACACATTACAGCAATTTCTGATTTGAGGCAACCCTATTTTTTATTTCCTTATACATTTATTTTACTTCTATAAACTTGTCCTTCTAATTTTCTGATGCAGGACCAGAATAATATGCTAAATTTCACTTGTACAAGAATTGTGGTCCCCAAATATTAAAATATTTGCATCATTAATATGTTACTTAGTAGTATTACAAAGTTCAAAATTTCTACTTTTAATTTACATTTAGTATCCTTTGCATCAAAGTCACTGTGTGTTAGCTTCCCATCAAATCCTTTTCCTCTTTTTCTTGGACACATAACTAGACTATATTTCCTATTGTCTCTTGCACTTACTTGTGGCCTTGTGAATGAACTCTGCTCAGTGGCATGTAAGCTGACTGACAGATACAACATTCCATCTTAGTCATCAAATACCTTTTTGTATATGACACTCCATGGCTGAATGAGGACCCCTCCAACACCCATAGAAAGGTAGAGAGCCACAATATAGAAAATGCTTTTGTCTATAAATTAAAAAGTGGAAACCTGCCCATTAAGAAATAGTAGAGTTAGATCAGTATGTGGTCATGAATTTAAATTTTATTGGGATAAGCCATAACATTTGGTGGTTGGTTTTCTACATCATCCATATTACCACACATTGTTAATTTTTATAACATTAATGGAAGTAATAAAAGTGACCCTCATGTCAGAGTCTCCTACTGAGCAATTCCTTTTTTGAGACATTTTTATACACATTACTCTGCTTCCTGACTCAGAATAGATGTTTAATGGATACTTTTTAACTTTATAGATTTACTTTTCCCCTTTTCTTTTTGGAATACAGCAACAAAAAACAAAATACTTCTATTTGCTTTAATTAGCAAATAATTTATGAAACATTTATTTATGATAAAATGAAAAAGTTAGTTTTAGGATTTTTGTCAATATTGTTGTCTTACAGTAGCTTTCTCTATTATCTGTAAGAATAAGAATCAAATAGCATTGCTGTTTAGGGAAGTAATTACTATTGAAATAGAGTGTGTATAAGGATTTGTAGTTACTTGCAGAAAACGTATTCACACTTTTGATCAAAATTCCATTATACTATTCCAAATTATGTTTTCAAAAACAAATTACAAAACAAAGTATTCTTTAGTGCAAAATCATCTTGTAAAAGGATTATTTTCATGGAAGCGATATTTCATTTCAATTTGTGGGTGTTATTTCTACAGAAACTATTAAGTGGTTCTATTCTCTACAGGATTTACTAAAACAAGTTTGACTTCAAGAATGCAAAAGGAGTATAGCCAGTTGGTTCTATAGTCCAACTAGCTGGTAATTGTTAAAAAGACAACCCATGGTGTTCCTTCCCTGGTAGCTGCCACACCACCAGCAGTAGGCACTCACTCCACGCTGCATGTGGCCCAGACATAGGCCCTAAATGCAACACACACTCAGAGGGGGCAAACACTCTCAAATCACAAAACTTAGCCTTTCTAGAGAAATTACTACAATCATAGAAGAATTGCTATTTCTTTAAGGAATAAAAAAGGAATATTTGTGGGTAGTTGGGAATGTTTGGGGTGGGAGATGTAAAATTGCCACTCCCAGATGTAGAAAAGTTTTCCCTGGAAGCACGTTGTTGAATGGGGCCCTTATTTGACAAGTACAGACAGGCTTTGAAAAAAATGTGAATGAACTCAGTTCAGAGGGTGGCGTTACCTGGGGCTATGTGTATTACGCGCTGAGATCACAGATGTTCAATGAACATTGAGATAATCTCCATCAAGCTCTATTGTTACTTCTTTGCTTATTTATTAGAAATACCTGTTCACTAGAGAAGTAGAAAGTACAAGTTTGGCAATATGTAGACTCACTCTATACCGACTACAAGTGAAATGATCATCCAAATAGTAGAGGACCTAAAAGCTTGGGAAGGTTGGGAATACCGCAAAGATAGGTTGAAGAGAAAGCCTTCAGGCAGTTCATAGATCACTGA